GATGGAACAACCTGCCTCCAGAAGCGGTGAATGCTCCAACACTGGAAGTTTTTAAGAAGAAACTGGACAGCCATTTGTCCAAAATGGTATAGGGTTTCCTGCCTGAGCAGGGGGTTGGACTAGATGACCTCCAAGGTCCCTTCCAACTTTATTATTATTATTATTATTAACATGGGGAAAAATAAAATGTAAAATATACTTGAAAATTCCAGGATGGCTTTCAACAACGGAGGCATTTGTACATCCAAATTTAGTTAATTTTGAAAAAAATTGGACATACAGAGATATTCTAAATTCTGAAGGGAACTTAAAATCTAAACAAGAAATGGAAAATCAAGATATTAATCTATCGTGGTATGCATACTTACAAATGCGATGTTAAACTGTATGGATTCTATAAGGAGCAAAACTTGTTTGATAAGATATTATTAACCTCTGATGAGAAATTAATTAAGAAAATTTATAATTTTCTATTGAGCTTGAAAATGGAAAGTGAACAAGTTAAAAAAAACAATGATAATATGGGCAAAAATTTTTTGGGATATAACATAGAATTAGAAAAATGGCAAAACTTGTGGGAAAGAAATTATAAATTTACAATGTCAACTTCTTATAAAGGAAACTTATATAAAATGTTTTATAGATGGCACTTGCCACCAGCAAGATTAGCAAAAATGTTTAAAAACATGTCAGATAGATGTTGGAAATGTAAACACAAGTCAGGTACTTACCATGTTTGATGGACATGTGCCAAAGTAAAGAGTTATTGGAAAAAAATACGTGGCTAGAAAAGTTATTGGGAAAACATATAGATTTTAAACCTGAACTTTTTTTATTAGGTATAATGCCAGAAAAGACTGATAAACAAAGCATATATTTGATTTTACATGTAATAACAGCAGCAAGAATTATATTTGCACAATACTGGAAAAATGAAGAAATACTATCAAATGAAGAAATAATTAAACAAAATACTAGAATGTGCGGAGATGGACAGGCTTACTTTGAGATTGAAACAAAAAAAAGAAACAGAATATTATCAAACGTGGGACTTATTTTATCTATGGCTAGAGAAAAGAATAAAGGATTAAGAATTAAATCTGTATTAGTGAATGTAAAACTCAGACAACACGTTTGTTGAACAAGTACTATTGAATGCTTGAAAAAAATCAATAATTTTTTAATAAAAAAACAAAGTTACAATGGCACTGAAAAATGTGACTTATGGCCGTTTTTCAGAGGACCTTTGTAGCATCTCCATCCTCACGTAATCAAACTTTAGATACTTAGCAGCTGACTCATATTTATGACCACTATTTGCAACCTTCTGACAAGCAAAGTCAATGGAGAAGCCAGATTCATCTAACAACCAGTTTACTAACTTATTAACTGCGGTGATTCACTTAACAACTGTGGCAAGAAAAGTCGTAAAATGGGGCAAAATGTATTTAACAAATGTCTCACTTGACAACAGAAATGTTGGGCTCAATTTTGGTTGTAAGTCGAGGACACCTGTATAATTAACCTTTATTTTACCTGTCTATGGAGATTCTCAGTCATCTAGGTCATGGTTTATCCCAAAGGTGCTTTTTTTTCAGGAGGCAACTGGACTTTCTTGTGTTTCTTTTGAAGACATTTTGTTTCTCATCCAAGTAGCTTCTTCAGCTCTGACTGGATGGTGGCAAATGGAAGGATTTATATTCCTTGCAGACAGCTGGTCATTTACATTCTTTTTAGAGAGTCATTGAAACCATTTTGGAGGTTTACCTGTGTCCTCAGGGTCACCTGTGAGGTGCAAATATGTGTGTGGAGACTTCTTGGCTGCAGGATGTTTTCTGCCCTGTGTCCCTTCACTGTTGAAGACAGGCACACACTACTGGGAATGAGTCTGTGAATCTCAAACTGATTTTACCTGTACACATTTTTTTCACTTTTGCAATAGATTTCTTCCATTGTCAATAGCTCATCTGTGGCCCTGTAACAGTTAAACTACTTCTTGGGATAATTAATGAATTGGTAAACAAGCATATAAACTAGGCTGATCTTCCAGCATATTTTGGAAGTGGCAATTGGATGTGTAAAACCAAGCCTTAATCACACCAGAAGATTAAAAAAAATCTGTTGCTGAATGAGCTGTATTTTGAGTTCAAACTTTGAATGAGCACCCTATAAATCTAGTCATATCGACATTGTTCATTATCTTTCTGAGCAGCCATTTTAGTAATGTGCTAGAGGGAATGGAGGGGAGAATAGATAGAACTTTGTATTGGAGGAAGAATGGGAAGAACACTTTTAGTGTTTTATTTACAGTGCTACACTCTGAAAGGCCTTATATGTCAAAGAAGTTCTTTATTAAATATCAACAAGATACCCAGCAAATAGTAGCTGGAAGTGAGATATCCTACATGGAGTTGTGAAGTATGTAACAAAGTCACAGTAGGAAGACAAAGAATCAAGCAAATGTTTCAGGAAGATCACTTTAATTACTTCAGATGCATTGGTTCAAAAATACTGTTATAGCAGGATGTAGGCCAGCATTTTCAGCACCATTTTTTTTGTTCATTTTTATGCTGTCAATCTCCCTGTCTGGTTGGTTGTTTCATATTGTCTGTATTGTTGTTGTTTTTTAAAAAAAACACTTTTGGTGTTCCAGCTGCTGAAGTTTGTACCAGAGAAGAGTGATATTGACCTGTTGGAAGAACATAAGCATGAAATTGATCGCATGGCGAGAGCAGATCGTTTCCTCTATGAAATGAGCAGGTGCATATAATTTTATACTTAGGTCTGTTTGCATGTGATGGAGAATAAAAAGAAGACAGAAAGGGAGGGAATATAATAATGTCAATTAACTTTTTCTATAGATGAACATGGGGGTGCTGGCTAAGTGATTAAGATGCTGGGTTTGTCAGCAGCTCAGGTTCAAGATCTGAGTGCCATACAACAGGGTGAGCTCCTGTTTTCACCCCAGCTCCTGCCTACCTAGCAGTTTGAAAGCATGCAAACGCAAGTAGATAAATAGGTACCACTTAAGTGGGAAGGTAACAGAGCTCCATGATGTCATGCTGGCCACATGACAGTGGAATGGCGCTGGCTCAGTGGCGTTGGATGGCGCTGGCTCAGTGGCGTTGAAGTGGAGATGAGCACCACCCCTTATAGTCAGCAACGCCAAGCGGAGCAAAATCCGCAAGGACTCCTTTACTTTTTTACAGAAGAATATAGCCCTCATAATTCCTAGACAATATGACCTTGCTAACTCACAATTATGGAAGTTAAATCGAATAAGTTGAGAATACCCAGATGGGAATGGCGGATACAGTACAATATTTCAAACAATATCATTGTAGCTTGGAAATTCTTAGTGATTACATAGCTGTGTTTGTCAATGAAATTCTGTCACCTGCTTTTTCTATCTAAATTATATTAAAATATCATGCATTTGAGTAACAGACTCTACCCCATGTGAATTGCTATGTTGTGTAGTGGAATTGGGAAGCTTGAGGCTCAAGTTAGTGATGCTAAGAGTGACCCTTGTGTAAAATACTGGAAATATACTGGGAAAATATTTCTTTCATTGAACTAGAAACTTCTTCCTCCTCTTTTTCCTTTTTTCCTCAATATCTTTTCTTCTTTAGGGAAATACAAATGCATGATTGATCCTTGGCTGCAAGACATTGTCTCCAGGCAGAGCAGCTGATAGCATTTTTTTTATATTCAGGGATTTCTGTTGTTCTAGTAATAAAATATACATTGAATAAAAATGGATTGGTCTTACAGGTATTCTGTTTTGTTGAAATGCAGCTCAGATCTCTGGCTCCTTTCTTTCTAGGATTGACCACTACCAACAAAGACTTCAGGCATTATTCTTTAAGAAGAAGTTTCCAGAGAGGCTTGCTGAAGCTAAGCCAAAAGTGGAAGGTAAGTTATTTTCTTTACAAACAGTAGCATATTTCAGGTGTCAGAGGTGTCATCCTGCCCAAGGAATGCTGTGTACTGAAGCATTCTGTGCAAGCTTAAGCAGAATAAAATCAGTGCCACTATAGTTTGTGTTATGAATTGAACAGCCTGAATTTTCTAGCTCTTTGGCAGGATCCCAGTTTCTTAATGGGTTGGTTGGAGCTTAACAGTCCTGGGGAGTGCATCAAGATTATTGTAGAAGAAAGCTTGTCACAATCCTTCCTTCATTGACAATCTCATTTTCTAGTAGCAATGAGAGGGTTGAGGATGGAGCAGGCAGGGAGTGCAGGTTCCCCACTTTGGCTGTATGCAAAATCTCTTTAGTGAAATACCTGTGTCTCCCAAAAGCTTTTTCTGCAGAATTAGAACCACCCAAACAAACACATTCAGTGGACTATTTCCCCACTCAGTATTGCACTTCCTGTGTTGAAAAGTGAGAGAAGAGCTTTGGCTTTAGAAAAATATAGTATGCATTGTTAGGGGGATCCTTCCCCTACATTCTCCCTTTCAACTATCATCATTCCAGTATGTTACTCTAAGGCAGCGGTTCTCAACCTATGGGTCGCGACCCCATTTGGGGTCAATCGACCATTTCACGGGGGTCGCCAAGCAAGGCTGTCCGCCATTTTTTCCCCTTTTCCGGCGGGTGCCTTACCTCCCTTGAGCTGGGCCAGCTGGTGGTCGGCCTGCTCCGTCTCTGCCGCTTGCCAGCTACACCTCGGCCGGCGCAGGGGGCGGAACCACGCATGCGTGGCGCTCCCGGGCAGGGAAAGTCCTCGACTTACGACCGGTTGGGTAGTCCTCGACTTACAACCAGTTTAGTCCTCGGCTTACGACCGGTTTAGTCCTCGACTTATGACCGGTTTAGTCCTCGACTTACGACTGGTTGGGGTCGCGGCATTGAAAAGGTTGAGAACCACTGCTCTAAGGGCACTTCTTGTTTCTTTCAGCTATTCTCCTGGCTTCCAGAGAGCTCATCCGCAGCAAGCACCTGAAGCAGCTCTTAGAGGTTGTGTTGGCCTTTGGCAATTACATGAACAAGGGACAAAGAGGAAATGCATACGGCTTTAAGGTTTCCAGCCTGAATAAGATTGCAGACACCAAATCTAGCATAGATAAGTAGGTTCACTTACTGATGATAAATCTTCAATACTGTACTTCAGTTAAAAAAAAAAGTTTTAAGGGAGTTTTTGTAATATAAAAAAACAATTAAAATTCAGCCTATTAATTTTGTACATCATATATAAGCATCCACATCTGAAAAGATTTTACATTAAAAGTGGTTACAGTCCATATAATTAATTTTGGCGCAAGCTTGAAACAGAGAAAATAGCTTTGTATCAAAAGGATATTTCTGCTAGTCTTGAAATATAATGACAGTTACTCTAGGTAGAACTAAAAGACAGCAATGTTTTTCAAACTGAAAAAAAAATCTCGGCAAGGCTAAAATTATTAATGATATGTGTGCAATTTTGAGCTGAAATTTTTTAGCACACTCATGAGAATTTACAAAAAAGCCCAACTCATTTTCAGGGGATAGTAAACTATTTCAAATCTAAGAGGCAGAGTATTTCTCTTTGTATAAATAGCCAGCACTTTCTTTTGGAATTGTCTTTGCTGCTACAAGAAACTAGTGATGGTTCATGATCTCTGTAGCTATTTTACTCCACAGTGCTTCTATCCAATGACACTTGATGATTAGAAAGAAATGTTTTGTTTTTCATTTTGAAAGCATCCATAAATGTATGTATCATCCTTCCATATCACTAGGAGTGAACTTGTTGGGGTTTTTTGCAGCATAAAAATTTTAAAAGAAGAAAGGAAGTCAGATTCTCTTGAAGGCTATTAGGAATGTTAATTTTTCTAAGCCAAATTACCAGCACCTCTTTCCTGTTCTTCCAAATTGTTCCACTTTCACAGCCGGGGAATGGGGTTCAGAAGATAGGAACTTTCATCCCCAAATAAAAACTATCTCAGGGATCTGAGCAAAGGCAAGACTCTTCATTTGGAAATTACACGCACAAATAAAACAATATAGCCATTGAATAGTCTTCTTGGAGGCTTGGGGTATTTTGCTGGGAGACCTTTGTACTTTGTACAGTGTTTCTTCTGTTGTTGAGTCATTTGCAAATAATCATTTGAGTCTTCAGGGCAGAGGTGGGAACATCTAGTCCACCAGATGTTGTTGAAATGCAGCTCCCAGAATGTCAAGGGTGCTGGCAGTCATCATACACATCACATCTGAAGACAAAACTTTCCTCACTCTTACTTTCGCACAAAACATGTGAAATATTAAATTAATAAAAGCATTTACATGGCTGCTTGGTCAAATAAAATGGCTCGGGTGGTGTCCAAAAAGGGAAGAGAAATCAAGCCAAGTAAAAAAACAATACTTACCATTAAACCCTAGCAAAACAATAAAATGGCAATCAGAGTTGAAATATACTGTAGCTCCTCAGATTGAAGACTCTACTCAGTCTGACCCAAAAGCCTGGGGAAGTAGCTATTACAGCAATTTTATTTTAAAAATGTGGATGTTAGACTAAGAGTTTGATTTCATTTTAAGCTTTTCAGATACAGCATGATAATTACCCTTATGATCTTGTTTCCTGTCTCTTTTATACCTATTTCTCTTAGGAATATTACATTATTACATTATTTGATCATGATCTTTGAAAAGAATTACCTAAATGTGCTTGACATACAGTCTGAACTGCAAAATCTTCCGGAAGCAGCCAAAGTCAAGTAAGTATCATTTCTTGCCATTTGGCTAAGTTCAACTGTTCTCATTGCAGCCTGTCCAGAATTATTCTGTGAGATGAGTAGACCTTACATTTGACCACCCATCTCACTCACAGAGCAACTCTAGGTGATGTATAATGAGAACATATCAGATATTAAACTGATACTTTATAAATAAATAAAGTGGTGCTGCTGCTAAAGTAATGATGGGTGATTATGATGAGATGTGTTTATGGTCTATAGATCAGCATTCTGTGTAAATGGGACATAAACAGAAGCAAATATCATAATTATCAGTCAAAAATATAATGAACTTTAGAAAATCATTTTCAGATTAAAGTGCTTGACCACAAGAGTTTTTGACTTTTAATCAATGAATACATTTATAATTCACTTAGTTAATAATGAAAAATATTCTTGAGTATTGCTGAGAATAAATATTCTATTTCAGAATGTGTAATTCTAAACAGGAAATGATCTAACAAAAGTGCCCAGCATGAGATGGGCCATAACAATTGGATTGCAATACATTAATTTATAGATTAATATTGAATAATTAAATATGTAATAAGTATTAATATTCTTAGTAGCCCATGAATTATAAATAAAGAGAGCATATTTTACTTGCTTTTTAAAATGTGAGAATATCCCAAAGTGAACATTTGTCAGGTGAATAATATTAAAATTGTACATCCATCTCAGTATCTTTTAAATATGTTCTGTAGTCTTTAGTGCTTAAAATATTGCAGAATTATGAATCAAAGAAGAACCAAAGCCTTATGATAATATCAGAGCATTCCCATAATAACTTTAATAGCTTTTGAGCACTTGGATTCGGTAGAAAAACAGAAAACAAAATATGACCATTGATGAAACTGAAAGTCAGGATTATTTTTTTTATAAAATTAACAATAGCAATCAGTTACATCAGTAAAGGATACCTTAAATTTTGTAAGTTCCTGTTCCAGTTATTCCTTTTCACTAATTTAAAGATGTTGTTTGATTCATAGTGTGATTTTCTGCTATTGTATCTGAAAGTAAATGTTAGATATATGAAGGTCAATAAATCCTAGTGATTTCAGAAGGACTAAAGGACATCAAGATAACTGTACCAGTTCTTTATTGCCTTACTTTGGAGCATGTTGATGTTTTGAACTGTGCTTATTTCATACACAGTTCTGGTTTTAGCTCATGCATGAATCTGATATATAGTGTTGGTATTCCAAGCATTAATTTCATTTTATATGCTAATGTGTAACCCTTCTACTTCTAGAAAAAAATTAATGAACAAAATGTATTAAGTTAACAAGCACAAAGAAGCAACCTAACCTAACCTAGATAAAGTATAATTAAATCAGGAAAAATATCAAAAGTTTTTCGCCTTTCACAAAAATACATTAAGATCCAATACATTAAGATCCAAACATTTCTGCCACAATTCCTATAGTAAATCTGGGGTGGGGGGATACCAAAGAATAGCCAGTATTAAGTCCAAGGAGCATTTATCTAGGGAAAAATATCTATAATAAGTACTGGAGGTTATTGTATTAATTTTCTGAAGTTTATAAGATGGCGAACAGTATCTTCTATTGATATTTTTTCCATTCAAAATTCTAACATATACTAATAACAGTGCTGGACTGTTTAATAGAATAACAGAGTTGGAAGGGACTATGTATGTCTTCCAGTCCAATCCCTTGCTCAAGCAGGAGATCCAATACAATTTCATTTCAGACAAGTGGTTGTCCAATCTCTTCTTAAAAACATCCAGTGTTGGAGCACCCACAACTTCTGAAGACATGTCTTTTGAGTGATCAATCATTCTGTCAGGAAATTTCTCTCCAAGGCTTCCATTCTAAGATTCAGTCTAACTTCAGTTCATTCCCCAGAACAAACGTTTGCCACACTGAAATCTGCCCCCAAAGTTTAACCAATTTAGCCTATTTTGATCAGTTATGTATCTTAAATGGGACACATAATTATGTTGATTTTAACATAATTGGAAGAAATTAAAGATTAAAAAAAAATACTTGAAGCAGCATCTAGGAACAGTGGAGAAACTGCAAAGCTGATGAAAGCATTTGCAGTATGTCCATGCTTTCTGGTCTCAATCCAGACATGGTTGAATGTTACTATCTCTGACAGCATGCTTTAAAAAAAACTAAATAAGCAGGCAGCAACTTTAATGAGATGTCTATTAAAACAACTGTATTTTTTTATACTTGCACAGAAGGCTAAAAGGGTTACAGCTGTTTTGAATAAATGCTGTTCCTATCCTTTGCATTTGGAAACATCATTTCCAAATCAATTTGAGAGCACACACAGCCCTAAAAAATAGTTAATTGTTGGTATAAGGAGTATTCATGATCTGAGTCAGATGGATCTCCTGGAGCTACCTTCTTTTGTCTTTTAAGCAATTAACAATTAATAACATTTCTATTACGCCTTTCCACAATAGGGGCTTAGAGGGACTGGCAATATGGTTATTTTTATTTTTAGAAATTAATCAACATGGAATCAACTAAATAAATACAAGAACACCAAATAACAGCAAACAAGGACTGCTGTGCTTCATTTAAGCTGGTTAGATGAAAAGGCTTAGTTGTCATAGCTCTGGTAGCCTGCCTCCTATGTGCAGCTATCTGAGGCCAAATCTCATATTTTTGAAGAATCTAAGTGTTCTCTTAAAAGCCAGTGAACAGCAGAATGGACATGTCTCTCTGTTCTGCTAGTATCTGCTGGGGGGCTGGTGTTGGGGGGAAAATAAGACACTGGAAGGACAGATGGTTGTCTTTACTTCAGCAATTCCTCTACCATCCTTATAACATTGCACTTTTGTTTTAAACCACTCTCTGTCTCCTTGCAGCCTAGTGGAATTGGAGAAAGAAGTTAATAATATAAAGACTGGGTTGAAAGCTGTTGAAGCTGTAAGTATGTCATAGTTTCTAAACACACTACTTTAAAAATGCCCACCAGGGTGTTTTGTTGGGAGAAGAAGGAGCTTTTCTTTCTTGTCAAGCTAAAGCCTGTTTCTCTGAGACCATTCCCTACCCCTCACCCCTATATCTCTTGCGAAAGCTGATGTGATGATATTAACAGATGTGCAGGGAAGTTTGTTTGATCTGGGCTGTGAGCAAGGGAACGGCAATTTGATAAACTGTGCTAATTCAAATGTTGAAAACTTTTTTCTTCTTTCAGAGACTTTTAGTCTCTGAGCAGGTGTTAGATGTGGTCTCTTTGGACAGGTTTACACAGGCAGGGTGTAGCCTAAGCATTAAGGCATTTATTACCTGCCAGAATGATTGCCAAGTAGGGAGAGAGTAGGCAGAGCAAGTCTGAAAGGAGATAGCCACCTTGCTGTACAGCCTTACCCAACCCAGTGCTCTTCATATGTATCAATCTTTTATTCCACAGAATTATTGAGTTACTTGAAGGACTGAAGTCCAACACACCTAGAGGGGCCCCCAATGGGGGAAGGCTATCATATAGTTTTAAACCAGTTGTTACATTAAGAAGTAAACACAACTGCTTCCGACTCAAAGCCTTTAAACATGATTCTTTTTTTCCCAGTAGAATGCATTTTGCCCTTTTAATGTCTTAACAGAATCTTGTATGTGATATAGTTGCATAGATTGTAGGGAGCTCTCTAAGATCAGTCCAAATATGGCTAGCATTTATACAGATTGTCAGGCAGGACTCTTTTGTCTCCCTTTCTGCAGGCAAATGCTACCTTATGAATGAACCATGGCATTTCATGCCATTTCTGGATTTTCTATAGTTCTTACATACCAATTGTGTAGGGGGAAAAATCCATTGTAATTTGTTTTTAAAATAAAGGTTTGGGATATTGCAACCTTGTCTTTTAGGGAGTATCTCAGTCTTTGAATAGTCTTTCTATTTTCTGAATTGCACAGGCTCTGGGATAATTTCTGTGGGATCACACTGAACTCATAAGGAATGGAGCCAGCCAGCTTTTGCAAACAGAAAGACTTAGTCATACAGGATTCTTTAGGGTATTGCAAATGCATGAACTGAGGGTAGGAGCTACAGCCAGTAACATCTTCTTTCTCATTTTATCTGTCTTGGGCCTTCTGTGTGGCCTTCCTTTAGTCATGGTTCTTGCCTGTGACTTGAGACTGCTAGATTAGTTTGCAATACCAAACATCCTTTTAAGATTAAATATTTGCAGCAAGTTGAGAGCATTTTAGAGACTTATCATTTTATTTATTTTCTCTTGCTGAATTACTTGACTGCAAACACTTTTTTTCAGTAATTTCCTTAAGAGAGTTGGTGCAGTCCTCTGGAGATAGAACAATGAAATGTTAATGCCAAGCTTTACTTTATGTTTACTTCATGTTTCATTTGTAAGGAATGATTCTAACACAGGACTGTAACATATACCCAGTCACCATATAATGGGTGAAGTAGCCTTTGGTGGTGCTCTGTATTAGTAGACAGGATATATTCAAAGTACAGAATAGCACTTTTTTCTTAGAGCTATAAATACCATGCTCCCCTGTGAGGTTACTTAGGAAGAATTTTTTATATGGGAAAGTTATAACAATTCCTTGTTTTCACTCCTTTCTTCCTCTGTGAGATTTCAACTGATTGAATTAAATCATTTTTATTTGCTGCTATTCTGTTTATCTACAAATGGCATTTTAATCCTTACTGTTAGACAAAGAGATATTTAGCAGGGTTTTTTTACTATATAAGTGAGGACTCGGCTAGATTAGAGGACTCATCTCTCACTTAGATTAGTCCTCACTTGTAAAAAAAAATGGGTAAAGACCTCCTTGTCTAATAATAAAGTTTAAAATGATTAGCTGCAAGTACACGGAAGTGGCATCAATTCCTTGCTTCTCTTGAAGGATAATAAACCTTACAGTATTACAGATCAGGGATTTATTTCCAAGCATCTTTAGTCCCTGTTAGACCCATTCAAACTTCCTTTTAACTTACATTCAGAGTAAATTTTGAGATTCATTCCAAATTCCACTGTCAAGTTTAAATAATACCTTGTTGCTCTTCAAGCTGCACACCCTTGACTCATAAGCCCTCAGAAAAAGTATTTGAATGGGAGATGCAGGCATCTTTCCTTTCAATAAGGGGGAAAAATATCATTCTAGAAGATATTAAAAAGTACCTCCAATTCATTAAGTGCTTCTCAACGTGTGTGTTTTAATATGCATTTTAAAGCCAAATATTATAGGAAGTCAAGCAGTGGCAAACAGGTGGTCAGTTTGTTTGCTAATCCTGAGAAGGTAGTTCTCAAACACTAAGTGTACTGCTTGACAAATTCTCTTTTCTAGGCCCATCTTCCAGAACAGGCAGAAAGAACTTTGTGTCCAAGCAACTCTTTTAAATAAAAGCGTGAGATTGCAAGATGCAATTCTTGAATGGCATGCCACTTACTCTCAACTTAGCCAGTGTCCTTGCGGTACCTTCCCCTTCTTCTTGGCCAAGCATTTTATCCCATTCATGCACCAGTTCCTTTCCCTCCCATATCACTTTATGATTATTATAAAACTTGGCAGCCAACATCTCCCTGTGTAGCTCATTCATTTCACTCTTTTGGGGGTATGTAAAAAGTAGCACTGTAACAACAATAGAAGGCCCTTGTTGGGAGGAGACGACAGGGAAAGCGAAGAGAAAAAAAAGGCGCAACTGTTGACTGCATTCCAACATGTTCTCACCACAGTCCTAGCACTGACAGTGGAGAGGGTTTTTCAAGGCCCCTTCTTACAAACATCAGACTAAAAATAGGTTTACAGTCAGCTGCTCACAGAGGCACTTTGTAATCCCTCGCTTCCCAGGGCTGGCAGCACCATTTAAAAATGAGATGTGAGCCTAGCTTTGAGAAACTTCACAGACTACAGCCAGCAAAGCAAAGTAAATCAAAATGGAAAGCTGTAAACCCTCGCTTCTCTTTATGAGGATTGCTGCCAAGGCATCAGCTCTCCTGCCAATGGCATTTGTAACTTTTATGGGATTGACTTCACTGTAAAACCGTTCGACAAACAGTAGAAAGCAGGATTTTTAAACACATGTCTTAAGTTGGGTGCTGTCTATAACAATGCAGTGTTGGTTTCTAAGCTTTTCCTCAAGGCAAAGGATAAAATAAACAGTGTTCTAAACAATGCTCTCCAAAGGTGCTTATTCCAGTCAAAACTGAAAGCAATAAATAAGCCATGATTGTAAGAAAGCCATCAATATTTGCTACCTCAGCTTAGAGGAAAAGAACAGAGGAGTAGATAAAAAGAAGCAATGCCTAATAATTGCCAAACAAAATACTGTTGTAGCATTGGGGAACGAAGTCCTGTTGCTTGGATAAAGATGTGCTAATGGATCCAAAGTCAAGCCTCAGGGATTTGTTAGAAGTAGCATAGGCATGTATCTTAATACCCAGAAACTCATTGTTAGTCAAAGTAGGCAATAATGAGTTAGATAAACCAAGTTGTTAAAGGTATAGGCAGCTTACTCTAATTCTACAATTTTCTGGATTTCCTGCCTTAAATATAATCAGATTCTTCACCTTCTTTTTCATGAAATCAAATTCTTAATGCTTGCTTATAAATCCATTTTTCTCCAGGATCAATACACAAAGAGATCATCTTAAAAACTTGTGGGGTAAATAAAATTGTGTGGGATGGATGAGATCAAGGGAGATTCAATCCAGTTCTCCTTAATCTGCACTCCTAAACTACTATTGTGTCAAATTTGAATCATGAGATCAATTTCCAGACTTCTAGTGGAGTCCTCTGGCAAAAAGATTTTCTCAAAACCTTCATTTTGAGGGGGAAAAATGTGACAAAAGCAGCAAACGTAATCTCAAAATCTAATGAGTTTATTATTCTGATTTGTTGGGATGATGGTGGTAGAAATTAATGTTCTGTTCTAGGCTATGCAGAAATTAGAATTTAAGTGAGTAAATTTAAGTGGTAAACTTTGCTAGGAAGCAACAGTCTTGCAAAGAAGGGGATAACAACTATGTTTGAAATTGTCCTTGACTGACCTCCTGAGGTCATTCAGAATATTTGCAAGTGTTTTTTTTTTTTTTTTAAGAAATGTTCAGACAACCTGAATCATAGTAGGATGGGGTCTTTCATGTTGTTAAAACTGGAAAGAAAAGTAAAACGATATTGCGTGTCAGCAAGCTAAGATGATTAAAGACCTGGAGACAAAAAACATATGAAGAACAGTTGCAGGAATTTGGTATGGCTAGTCTAGAGAAGAGAAAGTTAGGGGTGACATGATAGCAATATCCCAGTATTTGAAGGGCTGCCACAAAGAGGAGGGGGGTCAGCTTATTTTCAAAAGCACCAGAAGGCAAGATAACATCACTGTGTCTCAGGACATGCCTCCTGCAGCTTTTGAAGCAAAAGAAAGTGGTCATCCACTTCTGGTTTGGTGTGATGTGTGAACTTAACCAATTGTGGTTTTCAATAATTCTAGTTAAACCAAGCTGGTGATTTGGATATGGGAATTATTTTTAAATGGGTTCAGTTGTCATTTTTCAGTGTTTCTTCCAAAGTTTAAGTGTTATCTTTTTATATTGTTATCTATCTTGCTAGCTACCCATTCCCTGTTCCAATTTTTTTCTTTCCTTAGGAGCTAGATTATCAGAAGAGGCGTATGCGAGAACCAGATGATAAGTTCGTCCCGGTCATGAGCGACTTTATCACAGTAGCCAGTTTTAGTTTTTCTGAGCTGGAAGACCTTCTGAATGATGCAAGGGATAAGGTAAGAAATACTTTTATTTATTTTTTTCAATCAGTATTTCATGGGAATAGTTGTTTTCACCAGGCAGTAGAATGAATAAAAATGGACTTTCAGTTCTACAAACAACCCCTTTCAAGACATTTTCTTGTTATCCTTGTCTGTTTCTAAATCTTGTTCATTCTTAGTCGCTGAGAGTGATCTGGTCATGCTTTGGACTCAGCCTTGAACTGAATTGGGGGACTTCCAAATTGGAATTGGGGGACCTCCAAAATTTCCCATGAAAAGGTGTCTCCTAAATATTTCAAAGCTGTAATTCCAAATCCCTCTGGCCCTTTAATCCACTATTAATTTTTGCTACATATTTAATAATAATAATAATAATAATAATAATAATAATAATAATAATAATAATAATAATAATAATAATAATAATAATAATAATAATAATAATAATAATAATAATATATTCTTAAAACTTTCAATATCAAATTTACATCATTATCTTTTAAGGAGAAGTGAACTCACCTGATAAATATAGTAACACCTTCCCAGTCTGAAGGGTCTTAATCTCTCCAATATACGTTTTAAAAAAATAAATAAAAAGTGATTAAGATATAAGACTTACTCAAGCATAATCTCCATAAAGGTAGTTTTGCAAGTTTGAGCTTGATATAAATCCCAACTCACAACCACTTCAATTATAAGCTGACTATTAAAACAGTTTTCGTGGTCTGCTCATAAGGAGTGGCTGTCTGGAGTCACATGGATGATCTCAATGATCTCTCCTTTGTTCTGGAGAGATTAGGCCAACTCTTATCCAGCATTCAGTGGTAATTGCTCCCACAAAGCCAGCAAAGCGTCCACTTGCTATGGCACTTTTAGGAAGTAAGATACTTATTTCCAATGAAACATTTTTGTTTTAAAAAGTGTATGGTTCTGTCATTGTTTTACCTGATATACAGATCAGTATGTAATTGTTAAAAATAAGTTGTACATTTATTTCTTGCCCAACCCTAACTCCAGTGAAATCTAGTTTTATTCATTTTGAGGGGAATCACAATATTGCAGAGTTTCAGAATTCCTGCCATAGATTATTGATCTGAAACATTGATTTCATCAAGCACACAAGTGTGATACAGTTCAGTTAATACACTGGGTTTTTAAAAAGGGGTCTGCTGTCATATTTCAACAACCTAAGGAATTCTACTTTTATGATTGAATATGTTATGCTTTCATTTCCTTATCTGGTGGTGATGATCCTACTGGCTAGTGTAATCAAACTATCCAGGTGAACCTGTTGTAGGCTGGTTCTGATGAGTAAATAAAGGATTAAAAGCAAAGAAAAAGATATATAAATTATTGGTGTTATCTGTATTGTTCTTGTTCCAAGAAAAGCAGGAACATATGCCAACTTCCTAGCATATTACCCCAATCCAAACAGGACACTTCCTTCTGAACTGCTGTATTTCATGTCCCCAAAGGCAGCTTTTAACTTAACTAGAGAATAGACTATTATTTGCTCCTGACTAGAAGTTGGCACTATGCCCATAAGTCCCGAGGGTGAGGAAGAAACCGATAAAGAAAAGTTACAATAGCATGAAAATGTTTGAAGAATATGTCATAATGCAAATAAGGTGTGAGAATGGCATTTTTTCCTTCTTTGCTAAAGTAATAAAGACTGTTAAACAACGTAAGTATACTGTTCCTTTTTTCTCCTTTATGCTAGCATAAAAGAGAAAATGTGGTGTTAAAAAAAGACAGAAATCCTATTATTATTTGGTTATTAGATTTTATGATGGCCAGTTATGATTTTAATTGCTTTTTTTTTTTAGAACAGAGAGGAGGAGTTTGTTTGTAACTTGTGAATGTTCTGTTCTTGGAACTTAATTTCAGCCCCATTTTGAAGACTCCCTAATTGTTTCTCAGTGTAGCATGATTCCTTTGAACTGCACCATCACATCTCATAACAAGTACACATAAGCAGAATTAGCTGTCTGTTTTCTGACCTGCTATTCTTGCTATGTGTCGTTTGATGTGTGGCTCTAATCTAGATTTGACTTATTACAGATTGATTTACATCATCATGTACATCATTTACATTCTTTTTTTCAGTCTGAGAAGTACGCAGAATACAGAAAAGTAAAAACAAGATAATTCTTACCTTCCAGCTTACAGTTCAGAGGTCTTTCTATATAAGTTGTACTATTAATGTGACAGCCTGGCAACCCTAATTGGCCTCAGTTTCTATGGGTCTGGCCTTTGATCACCTTAAGCCATCTCATCCTTTCTTTCTTACTTGAAAGTTCTTCCTGAGCCATTGTAATCCCACCACAGTTTAGTGGTGGCTAAAATTGTTAGCATTTTCCACTCCTTATAAAGGAAGTACAGTATTATGTGGTAGTATGATCAGTCAGTTTTAATTGTTCATATATTCCTGTACCTACATGAAGTTCTTGGTAGGAATATCTTTATCTTGGAAGGAAAAAGGAGATGGAGTTATTCACTTTTCCCTTCAAAAAGTCCTACTCACTCATATGGGCAAAAATTTTGTCAGCCACAAAATACATAAGAGAAGAATGAAAGCCAATACAAAATATCATTGTGCAGACCAAATTTGTCTGTGTGTAGCAAAGATTTAGTTAGTTATGATAAGTCTAAGAAGATACATCTCAGGTGGAAAAGAGAACAAAGAAGAAATAGACAAATAAGATAAACAATTTCTGAAAAGAAAATAAAGAAGGAGGATAAGAAGACTGTAGCATGGCAGTAGCATGCACAGCTGACATTTCTTCACCAGCTACTGTTTCTTTGCTTCTGTTCTCACAAGTTGGGTGGTTCAATTAAGTGATAGGTTTATATCCACTGAAAGATGACTACATCCTGCCACCATGAAATGAAGTCTTCAGACTCTGAGTAATTTCAGGAAAACCAGTAGTCCACCCAATTGTGGTCTCGGTTGATGATGCCACTACATGGGTCCCAATTTGAACTTTGCCAAAGCAGCAGAAATAGTCAGCTGCTAAATCCAGTCCTGTTATATTTTGTATCCTGGGACAGGACAGAATGTTTTGCTCTCCCTGTTGTTTTAGAAAATTATGCCATAGCTCTCTCTTCTCCAGTGGGGAAGAAGTTTGTCTTGCAGTGTAGCCATCACAAGGTCAGTGCAAACATGAAAGAGACTCTTCATTTGAAAATGAAGAAACGAAAATGTTATAAAAATAAAATAAGCATTGTATTTTATATGGTTTTACTCAGAAGTCATGTTTTTTTATCTTAAAGAAACAAATACGTTATTTCAAGCTGTCAAACATCTGTCTTTTAGTTCTGGGCTAATATAGTATTAACTTGAACCCTAGAGTACACAGGGCTTTGCTTCCCAGACCCTTCACTTTTTGTTTGGTTTTTCTTCATTAAAAGGACCTTTCTTCTTGATCTTTTTTTTTAAAAAAATATTTATTTCTGGACTGCGTAGCCCATAGGACTAAAATATATAACTGGCAAGCTGAAAGGAACAGTGAAGGACAGGAGCCAAAATGTACAGACTCTCAACAAAAAGCCCTGGCTTTAGTGGCAATGTTACCTGTTGACTGAATTGGGTTTCCAAAGTAACTGGGAAGAGAGAGATCATTCTTAAGCTAAAATTTTCCCTCGCCAGATTTCAACTGCCTTGGGATCCACTTTTGAGCCATGACTTGTATGTGTTTCCTTTTAGCACATTACAGATGGAAGTACAGTCTTTTTTTTTTTTACTTCTAACTGCAACCTGAAATCTACATCTGAATGGACAGTGTGGACATTGAGCTTTCCATGTTTCACAGAGTCCTTTTAATGAACACTTTTTTAAATCTACCTGATAGGTACATACCTATGAAACAGGAACCTCTGTGTGTAACTTTATAGTGATCTTTAATAATATTCACAGAAGAAGGGGAAAATACATTTATTTGACATACTAAGGACTGTCCCATGTAGGACAGTAGCTTTATGAATGTCAGGACCCATTTCTTATAACAAAACATAGAAATAGAAATAGAAGTTATCTATTTATCTATGCCGATTCAACATAAAGACGGTCTTTCCCATTGCTATTAGTCTTTCCAACACATTGTGCAATTTGTTTTCTGGAGTTGTATGGATTAAGATAGTAGAGAGTTATTTTAATCCAAAACAGGATTTAATCATACTAGGAAAGGAAAATCGAGTTCCTGTTTCTGCTAAGCTAATTAAAAAGTATTTGCACAGCAAAGCCAATCTTTTCTGGAAGTGGCTGAGCATACATTTGCCAGCATAATGCTCTCAATAAGAGAAGTTTAATACTAATTGCTATAACATGTCCAATAATTTATCACTCCCTAATGTCTTTTCATAGTATGCACACATCTACTGTTCTTGAAGGAGCTTAGTTTGAGTTTTGGAAGAGTGCACAGCTATTACTCCTCCTCAAATACTGAGCTGCATGTGGACCTAGGATGTAAAATCTTCTATCTCCAACAGAATCTAAGCTAGTTCTTAGATTTTTCAAAATATTAGGTGGGTGTTACACCAAATCAGATGTATTTCTATGGGCTCAAACTCCTGCAAACTCAGTAGAGTCTGTATTGGTGAAGTTGTATTATCTATGCCAGAGAAACATTTGCAACTAGCCTGTAAAGATGGAGGCAATACTATATACTGTAGAATACACAATACTGTTCCATTTCAGTTTTGCAACAGAACATGAACAACAAGTGTGATTTTTATGAATGGCACATAACACAAAGATTGGTTATTAGGCTAATAAAGAAGCATTACAGTGGAAGCACTTCTCTTTCTGTATGTGAATCTGGCAATATAAATGCCAACGCCTAAAGGATGGGGTAGTATATTTTTGAAAATATATTCTTTAAAACAGGAAAAATGGTCTTGCTCCTAGGGCATATTGAAAACTTTAAATCATCGTAGATGAAAGACAGATTAGATTCCCCCTATGAATTTTGCTAGTGCATTCAATGACTAAAACTGGAGGAGCCAAACATTATTTGCACATAAAACTCAGGCCATCTTATTCTCTTACACATTGGCTCCTCTCCTCCCAATATCTTCTATTGGTTGAGTATGAAGGTCTGAAAAGGCATTCTGAGCATGGTCAGTTGGATACATTTGGAAATTGTACCGCTATTAATCCTGCTTGTGTGTGCACTCCCTTTCTGAGTACCTATGTGACAAATCACTTTACTTTTCTTCAGTTGAAAGCTAAGCTACATGGCCAAAGCAGCATGATTACAACATAGGTTAGATCCATAAGATTGCAGATCATTGGACAGTTTTGGTGTGATTGATTGAAGAATCCAATCTACATTATTTATCTAATGCACAAATTTCAGTTCATCTGTGGTATAAAACATTTTTATTGTGATATAGTCAATGAGCACTGACTTATCATCTGTGCATATGTTAAAATAGCTTTGACACAAGAACCCAATCAGTGCACAACTGCTACATGAAACTATTGTCTTCCTTTTGGATTTGCCAATGCACAATCCAAACAGCTGAATTCAGGCATTCTGGGAAGTATTGTGCTTGCTATAGCCATTAAATTGTGAGAACCATTAAACAGAAAATCCTCTGCAACACACATACATGCACGTGTATGCACGCACACACGCACGCACACACACAAACACACAAAAAGCTAGAAGAAAGATGGGAATGCATGAACTTAAAAAAATAAATTATTGCAAAATGTATATTTTTCAACTGAAAGATTTTTAAAATTTTGTCATTCTTTTTCTTTACCACTTCAAATAACAGTTCTGCCATCTGGCACACTTTCCATAATTGTGTTTTTCTTCTGGTCTGAGAAGACCTCTTCCCCCATTTTTTTTTCTCAAAACTTCCTTTCTGAAGCTGCTTAATTTCATTGGCAGGAGCAGCAGTGAGCGAGTGCTGCTGTTCCTCTTTCTACCTCTGTTGAAACAACTTTACAAAATGAACAACTGCCTAAACTATTTGCTTTGGCAAAAAGAGAAATTGACTGAAAAGTTTGGTAGTAGGAGGATTGCTGGCACTGAAGTCTGCAGGCCTATTATGTCATAAGATGAAGGAGTGATAACTTGGAGAAAAAATTATTTATTTTAACAAAAATACATTTGTATCTCTTGGGTTACAAAGTAAAAGGGTATGTCATTCACGTTACCAGGCTATACAGTGATGATCAGGGCTTGATGCCATCTTAATCATTCCTAAAGGATTTTTATTGGGTACCGGGGAAATGAAATCATTGTAGAGAAAAATCAGGCAAAGAGGTAGGGAACAGTATGGAGATCAACCAGGAGCCATGGATACAGAAAGACTGTATTGCTGTATCCAGAAGTGAACAGTAACAGGGAAATTATTTTGGGATCGGTAGGGTTAATAGAACTGAATTAACAAAAAAAAAAAGAATGTAGTAGGCCTTTCAAACTACAAAACTGCATTGGAGTAGAAAAAAAAGGATTCCCTAAAATCCCAGTGTTGACAGAACCTGCCAGTGGGTGATTTCATCATAAAAGCCATTGAAGATCTAATGTAAGATGGGCTTTCTTTCTTAACTTACATTGGAAGATCACTAAACACATAATTTGTATAGACTCAGTGCCAGGCAGAGGTCAGCATTCAAACTGTTAAAGATTTAAAGGTATATATTATCCATGAGTAATCACCCATTTAATAGCATTTCTTCAAAAAACAGTGCTGCTAAATTACTCACTGGGCAAGTAGTCATGTAAACTGTGCCTTAATTGAGGTTTCATTTTTAAGTTTTGTTTGAATAACCACTGATTTATAATAACGAGACCTATTTTTTCTTTAATATTAGAATTTCTGAAAACTGAAGCCTGTTATTCCCCATTCAAACTCGGACAGCCTTTATTCTGTCATAGGTTTGCTCTTCCTATCAAAGAGACAAAACAATATGGCTGTTGATGATTGTTGGTGTGAGGCATGGAAGTTAGATTTTGGATCTGAGATTTAGGTATGGGCTATAGATGAATTCTAAAGATTCCATAATGGCTTTGAAGGTTTGTATCTGGAAAGGAAAGATCTTAAAGAAAATTCAGACACTCCCTCACCATGTTGGTCACCACTTCTACACTTTCCTCATTCGGATGAAAATGCTTCATTTTAAAAGCAGTTCCAGAGTTGGGTGCTAGCCAAGCTGCTGAATTCCTCACCAAGTTCCACTGATGTTGTTGATATAGTTGTATTTTTGTAGGTTCTATGCATGTCAGAAAGGAGAAACAGTCATGTTCACCAGTCTGCATTATTGTTCCCCTGTCTGCCCTATCACTTCTTCCCAGTAAGATCAACCAAGCTTATCAGCTTAGTATTATGTCTGAAAGGACAGTTCTGGGTTGTCAGTTTTCCATCAAGCCAGTTTTCCATCAATCTCTTGTTTATATGGAACAATAAACTAGGAATTAGTTTCGAGGCTTTCCTTGCCAGAGAGTTCCTGGTTTGTCCAGCTGCTCACTCATTAGAAGAACAAACAGGAATCATTGGAAAGTCTGTGTGATAAGTCAGGATTCTATTACATTCTGTTTCATCATTTTGTGTGGTTTTGGTAGAAATTAACAAAACTGTTAAATCCTTATGATTGTCAAGATTTCTTCCAGTCAAATAGAAGTCTCTTCACTTTTTGTCCAGTGCATAAAATATGTTCTGCTATGTAAGTCCTGGAGCTGTTCCACATCAGTCTGTGTGAATGCAAATTTGCCCATTTGTTTATGCTTAGCATTCAACTTTGTGAAGTATAAACTTTTTTTCCTGGAAGCGTTTCTTAATATTTGTATTTTCCTATGCACTTTTTTCTGCATAAGGGAAATGCACATTATAAATTCAGGATTTTGTATAGGGTTTTACCCAATGTGCAGACATCTAGGGATTATGTTTAAGTTGCTAGTACATCATAAAATTTAGCAAGGTTTGCTGAACAGGTACATTCCAGCCTTTTTGGTCAGTTCCAATACTGAGGATATAATAAATCCACATACCTGTAACAATTTGGATGGAACAAATTTCTCATTTATCCTTGTTGATTACGAAGCATTTCTGGTTTTTAAATTTTGAACGTGTCCCTAAGATAGAAACAAAATACAAAATGTACAGTCCCTATGAAATTGAACACTTCCGTTAACAGATCGTAGTATTTTTTTTCTTAATAAACATTTGCTGTATTCTTTCCCTTCTAAATGCCAGGAGGTTTTGTTTTGTTTTTTTCTTTTTTCCTTTCTTTAACAGTATGCCAAAGCACTGAAGCATTTTGGAGAGAGTGAGGGAAGGATGCAGCCAGATGAATTTTTTGGCATCTTTGACACCTTCCTGCAATCATTTACAGAAGCTAAGCAAGATCTGGAGAATATGAGGAAGAAGAAAGAAGAAGAGGAGCGCAGGGCACGCATGGAAGTCATGGTGAGGACTCAAAAGTTAGAATTTTTTAAATTTTTTTTGCCTGAAAAATACTTTCCTGAATGTCTTGGGAAATTAAATGCAGTGTGAATAAAGGATATATTTTCTACACACCAGTTCACCAGCTGGCTTGCATCATTGCTTCTCTTGGGTTCCTCTTTGTTGCATTCTAGGTTCTTCTTTAAGCCCTGCATATTTCTCCAGCCTCACTTTTGTCCTGAGTGCTCTGGGTCAATGCATCTTTTTCATTTATCCTTTCATTTCATCTTTTTCATTTCATTTAGGGGAATGTTTTCCCACCTAAGGTTATCCTCCAGAGTCCAGACAGTAGGGAAAATACAAAGTTTCTTTCTTAAGAACTTAGAAATCAGCAGAGAAAAAGTTAAATCTGCATTATTTTGGATTATGGAATATGGAATATGGAAAACGCTTCCATAAATATTATATTATTATTTTGTTATATTATTATTAATATTGTTCTTTGCCAAAATATACCACATTCTAGTTTTGTGGGCCATAACATCCTATTGATTTCTCCTTGAGCTATGTCTTTATACATTTTTAAACTTTTATGTACTATGCATTATTTCTGACATCAGAATGCCTAATAATTGTTATTCTAGAGTTGCATTTCTGATTACTGATTGTTATAGCAGTCATTTTTTGTTCATGATCCATGTCCAACCTAAAAATTTTCAGGTATAAATATTTTATACTAAAGCTCTTATCAGATTGGCAAATGTCAAAAAAAAAAAATTCAGTGTAATAGCCAATGTCCTAGAACCAGGAAGAATATTAAGAAAAGGTTTGGCAAGTTAGTAAAATGGGATGAAAATGACCAAATGAAACCAAACAGAGAAAATGCAAAGCTTCTTCACTTTGGTCATACAAGGTTTGTGGTCAAAGGGCAGTTGATCCAAGCAACCATTTTTATGACTGATCCCCTGTTTTAAACTTTACTGTGAAGGTTTAACTCATTTGAAATAAATTGTTCCTAAAATCATGCAAAAGTCCTGACATCAGATTACAATTCATTTAAATACCAAAACTGCCTGGATCCTTTCCTGTCCTTAACCTGTGTATTGAGCCTTAAAACACAAAACTTTGCTTTCTTTTAAGCATAGCTATCCTATTTTCCATCCTCTTCCTTTGAAACAATATTTATGTTCTCATAAACCTCTTGTTTCCATTCTTGAAGTTACTAGGAGTTGGTGTTGGATTGAGCCAAACTACACGAGAAAATTAAAATACATGTTTAGAACATTTGTGTCTGAATTTTAGCCAGTAGAAGCCATAAGGAGATAGAAGCCTTTATTGGAGGATATGATGCATAGAAGTTAACTCTCCTTTATCAATTCCTCCTTCTATCCCTCTGGATTTCTACTGGTCAAAATGTAAAGATACAGAAAATCCAATTATAAATCTTTGTTGTTTAACTGTAACCTCTTATGCAATAAAACCTCTCTTGTGTTTATTCAATGTCTTTTCTTAATTGCTTTCTCTAATGTTATAACTTGCAGTATGCTGCCTTTCTGGCTTTACAGAGCTGATTCCTTTCACTATAGTGGGATCAATATATTCCCCAAGCTAATTATGCTATTGGAACTTTAGTTCCTGGATTCCTCGAGGTTCATGTGAACCAATTACCCTTTCTAATATTATGATGTCTTGATTTTAGAAAGGATTCCTTTGCTCCTTTCAAGATATCAGCACCACAACCTGAATTGCACTGCTCACTCCAGCCATACTAAGATGGAAGCTTCTATCCTATTCCCCCGAATGCTCCCATTTGCCTCAACTTTCAGTTAGATTTCTGAAGTGTAGAGAGAGAGGGAGATTCCTAGTCAATTTTACTTACAGTTGTGCCTAGTTTAAAATGTCAGAACTTCAACTTCTTAAATGGAGAATAACGTAATTGTTTTGCAAGGCTGAAAGAGCTAAAGAATTCCTTGCCAGCCAGTACGGGAACAGATAGCAAAGCCTTCTACTCAGAAAGGAGAGGAGTTTATTCCCAGTTCTGTGCTGGAATAAATGATGGGGAAGTTATAGATATGGGGCAGAGGAGAAACTGTGGGTGACTAGGGTGTGATGATTATGATCTTCTATAATAACAGAATAACCAAGTTAGAAGGGACCTTGGAGGTCTTCTAGTTCAATTCCCTGCTCAAGCAGGAGACCCTATACCAGGGGTAGGCAACCTTGGCTCTTTTATGACCCATGGACTTCAATTCCCAGAATTCCTGAGCCAGCCATGGAGTTGAAGTCCATGAGTCATAAAAGAGCCAAGGTTGCCTACCCCAGCCCTATACCATTTCAGACAAATAGTTGTCCAATCTCTTCTTAAAAACCTCCAGTGTTGGAGGACCCACAACTTCTGCAGCCAGTTTGAGATAAGGTCACTGAATTAACTGTTGTAAGTTGAGGACTATCTGTAATTGCCCACCTCTGGATTAAACGGTCTACACAAAATGGTGATGGGACATTGGAACAGCAACCCAGTGAGGAATCCTGACCTTCCTCTGCTAAGAGACGAAGAGGGGCGAGGGAGAGAGCAGGCTTACTTAATTATTATAATATCAATACATCAATAATATCATTGATGGCATTTGAATCAGTGGGAACTTACATTAGTAGGAGGAACAATTCTTTTTCTTCCCATTCCTCCTAAATGTTGAATCCTATGGAAAATAGCCTAGAATGGAGGCAACTGGCCTGCATTTCTCTCTCTCTTTTTCCTTCACTGAAAGCCATCGTTATGATCTAATTAGATTTTTATCTTAGTCTTTCTTCAGGGAATCACCAATTTCTCTCTTCATCCCCACCATTCCTTTATCTTCCCAGCATCTTACCCATGAGTAAGTTAGTTAGAAAACAAGTTAGAAAAAAAAATGGTCTAGTTCAGTATGAAAGGAGATAAAAATCTAGATACTCCTGGGTTTAGTTGGCAGCCTAATCACTTCCTCACGGGATCTTAGAAGTAGTTTCACAAATTGTTTATGTTCAATCTAGAGTTGTCTTTCTGGCTTTAATGAAGCAATTGTTGATACAGATGTGGTTTGCAGGCTAAGTCACTTTTATCCAAGGTCTTTTTCCAGTTCCATGTTTTGCATACTTTCATTCCAGGCCCATCACTTACAGATGTCCCATGTTCTAAATGTAATGTTAAGAATCCAGTGTTACTTACGCTTATTTGCAAAACCCACAGGGTGGCTAACAACAGAGAAAAAGCAGCTAAAAGTTCAGTTTAGGACTGTAAACCCCAGGGAGCAAGTCTGTCCTATTCCTGATCTTTGTAAGTCACTCTAGGAGTTTTTTCAGTGGAAGAACAGGTTAAAAATGCTTTACATAAATAAATAGCAGAATGTTAAAAACAGCAAAGGAAAGGAAAGAAAGCAAACTCCATAAAATGCAAACCAAGGAAACAAATAACATAAGATAGCTATGGTTTTTAGATGTATATGGCCAACTACTGGATGCTGGACTAGGCAGCTTTTTAGACTGATACCAAAAAGTTATATTTAGCTTCTTATACAGGTAGTTCTTGATTTACAACCATTTGTTTAGTGACTGTTTGAAATCACAACAGCACTGAAAAAGGTGACTTATGACTATTTTTCCCACTTATGCCTAATAATAATAATAATAATAGTTGGAAGGGACCTTGCAGGTCTTCTAATCCAACACCTGCTCAGGCAGGAAACTCTATACTATTTCAGACAAATGGTTGTCCAATCTCTTCTTAAAAACTTCCAGTGTTGAGCATCCCTGTACTCATGAGATCAAAATTTGGATGCTTGACAATTGGCTCATATTTATGATGGTTGCAGTGTCCTGGGATCATCTGACAAGCAAATTCACTGAACCACTGTGTTACTGATTTAACAACGTCAATGATTCACTTAACAACTGTGGCAAGAAAGGTCATAAAATGCAGCAAAACTCACTTAACTGTCTCATTTAGCAAGAAAAATTTTGGGCTCAATTGCAGTCATAAGTCAAGGACCACCTGTAATGTTGAAGTTTAGAATTATCCCAATGAATAGCTGAGTCTAGAATGAGTTCGCAACAAACAACTTATGAATGTCTTTTTAAATTATTTCTAATTAGTTTTGTTAATAATAATAACAATAAAGTTGGAAGTGACCTTCGAGGTCATCTAGTCCAACCCCCTGCTCAGGCAGGAAACCCTATACCATTTCAGACAAATGGCTGTCCAGTCTCTTCTTAAAAACTTCCAGTGTTGGAGCATTCACCACTTCTGGAGGCAGGTTGTTCCACTGATTAATTGTTCTAACTGTCAGGAAGTTTCTCCTTAGTTCTAGGTCGCTTCTCTCTTTGGTCAGTTTCCATCCGTTGCTTCTTGTCCTGCCTTTCATTGTCTTTATTAGCACATTTTCCAGCCAGCCACCATATTAAACCTGTTAAATCTGTGTGTATTTCTTAACAGCTTAAAGAACAGAGAGAGAAAGAGCGGCGTCAGAAGAAAGCAAAGGCTGGTAGTATCTCAGAGGAAGGAGGAGGAGAGTTTGATGATCTTGTGTCAGCACTGAGATCAGGTGAAGTTTTTGACAAAGACTTATCCAAGCTCAAGCGCAACCGTAAGCGTTCAGGGAACCAAGCTCTGGAGACAAGCCGGGAACGAGCAATAACAAAGCTCAATTATTAAATATGGATGATGTGCATATTACACAAAGTGCAAAACCGTAAATGAATGACTGCTGCAACCAAGAGTCAAGACAAGATGGCGAGACTGTCTAAATCCTTTCTGCAGGAAGCGCATCTAGTGCCAATGGCTTTTTTTTCCAGGACGAACCTATTCTCCCGTCTTGCTCTTGTCCATATTTACACAATCTGGACTGGTGGTAAAAGTGCCTCTCTAGTGCCCAAAGGATTTGTGATTGATTGATCGAATTGCTTCTTGGTTCCACCACAACTTCGCTTTTGGACCCTTTTGATGGAACAGAAACCTTGGAGACTTTTTGGACCAGTTACTTGGGGTGGGTAGGGGAGGTTCATGTGCCAAAGTCTACACATTTAAAAAAAGACACCTCCAATGCTGAGAAAATGCAAGACAGTCTCAGGATGGTTCTGAATTTTCCTGCCATTCTTGGTTTGGCCTGCCTTCAAGAGTGAATTAGTGGTATTATAATGTTGTGATTCTCTTCTTCCACTGGATTTCCACAAGGCCATTGACTTTGAGAAACATGACACTGGTCTCAAGGACTGGTATTTACTGGTGCGTGCCAAGCAAGTGATGTTGCGTCAGAGGAAGTAGCTCTGTTTTTGAGATGCACAAAATGTTTGGGAAACTCACTTTCCCCCCCACTAATCACTTGAGTATTTGGAAGTGTGCTAAGTCTTTATACCAAGTTGTGAGAAAATAGGAGGACCCAGACTCTAAGAATGATCATCATTAACCTGAACCTGATCAGTTATCATTGCTAAGCAATGTGGTAGGAAAGGGTTTGGGGTATAGCAGTATTTCCATTTGTAAAACTGCATTATTTTCATAGCACAGTAACACACATTATTTGAACTAATAACATATAGAAATTTTTAAAAAAAATACACAAATGGTTTGTCTGATAGTTGAAAAGGAGAATCTGGTCATTTATTGGAAGCCGTGACTCAACCGGGATGGGTATTTTTCATTCTAACAGACTAGCCTTCTCAGAAACTGCAACTCTTTCAACAACATTTTCACAGTATTATGTAATTGTAGGATGACTGGAACATTCAAGGATTTTTCCATCATGAAGAAAGTGACAAAGAAAGAATTCAAATATATAGCAGACCCAAAAGGGATTACCCAGTATGTATGAAAACAACACTTGCTGTGGCAATAAACAAGCAATTTATCATGTCATAAAAATTGTCTAACAGGATAGCCAAAACAGAAACATGCATCTGTAGAGGAAGCCAAATAATACTTCCCTGTTTCATTGTTCTTACATGGTTGTACATTAATAGAACTATGCAGTATAGGATTTTTTTTCTAATCTTATGAATTGAGTAGTTATTCATCAATTCTCAACTGGATCTCAGGAAAAAAAAGATGGTGCAAGCTTGAGTGTGAGCAACATGGAGGCAAAGTTTAAGATGATGACTGAAAGAGCTTTTCTGCAAGGGCAAAGTCCATAGAATTCCAGGGATTATAAAAGACACTCCAATTGTCATGTTGATTACTTGCTTTTGTTGGTATGAAAAAGTTGTATAGATTCAAGTTTGTTTCTGTGAAGTAGAAAATTTCTTTCTCCCTCAAGCACAGATTAATAAGCCATATAGCATGGTTCCCCCATCAATATTGGGCTGAACGTTGGGAACCCTAAGTAGAAGTGCTCAAATATGCAAAAATAATAGTCTTATTTTTGTATGCCCTAGTTTTCAGTGCTCTGGTTCTGAATTTTCCTGTTCATGGCATTTCAGAATACAGCTTTTTTTTTTTCATTACATGCATAGGCAAGATAATTTGCATTTACAAAAAAAAAAATCTGATATTTTTTAAAATATCATTTAGAGCAGTGTTTCCTAAAAATGTTCTGGCCATCCTCTCAGAAGTCCACAAAACCAAAATTCTTTGCCAACCTATCTTGAAAAATATTAAAATCCCATCGAATTGTGAGAAGTGGCAATGAATGCAAATTTTTAGTATAGTAAATGCTGATAAATATAATCCATACAAATGAAAGCTCATTTGGGGGTCCTCCATAATTTTAAAAAGTGGGAAGGGGTCCTTACAGAAAAAAAGTTTAAGAAACACTGAGTTAGAAGATGATCCTTCATCGAATGGGAAACCTCTCTCTTCCTCTCCCTCTTTTGGAACTGAATGATTCCACCCTAAATATTCTTGAAGATAAACAGGGTTGTACTTTTGGGATTCTTCAAGATGAACAGCAAGGTATTTTAAAGAAAAAAGTGAATGTTGCGTTGAGCTTCTTTAGCAGAGATGTAGTATTACATTATGTATCTCGTATTGTCCAAGATAGACTAAAACGCAAGTGCAAGGCAAGCCCGTTTTCCTTGCTGTAACCACCAAATCTCAAGTTTACACCTTCTTCAAAATAATAATTATTGAGTTTTATCACTCAGTATTCCCAAATTCCTTATAGAGATTATGTACCACAAATAAGATGCCCTCCAATTCAAGTTCTTCATCTGTGACTATACTCCTTTCTTTACCGTAAAGTATAATCTGAGCCATCTAATTATTATTGTAGTAAGGTAAGTAAATAAGTAACATTGTTACTGCAGTGAAGAACCAGTATAAAGAGAAGGTAGGCCTAACTATAGATCTGATGAGCATGGTGTTCTCAGGTGGCCATTCCTGACACAGGATCTCTTAATTTAGATGGTGGGCAGGTAACCCTGATGTCTGGAAGATACTTAAAAAAGCAGAGTAACATTAGAATTCTCCTCCTATCAGCACCAGTAAACCCTGCAAGAATGAGGTACTTAGAGCAGGAAGCAGGAGATTCCATGTTCAAATAAACTTTTTTTCCCCTAGGACAGTGTTTCTCAACCTTGACAATTTTAAGGCATGTGGACTTCAACTCCCAGAATTCCACAGCCAGCAATGCTGGCTGTGGAATTCTGGGAGTTGAAGTCCACATGCCTTAAAATTGTCAAGGTTGAGAAACACTGCCCTAGGAGATAAGGCAGTCAAGGAAGTTCATGTGATACTTGGAGAGAATCAGACATTTTATTTTTGCCCCTAGCTCTGCTATGTAATGCCTTGTTTTTGTTTTTGTTTTTTAAAAAATATTACCAGTATTTCTGTCATTGGTTCCACAAGATAAAGTACTGGAGTATCTTTTCACCTATCCTGTAAAATCTACAGCAACCTGAATCAGAGATTTGTAGGTTCTCAGTAGTTTCAGTTCTATTCCTTGCAACAAAAAAAAATTCAGAGCAATATCTAGCAGTTCAATTTAGTAATAGGTTTTGTGGTGGTGCGTGTCTAAAAATAATATGATATAGAATTACACTTACAATAAGATTCATTTCGTTTGTAACCAGGGCTTGCTATATTTTGAATCATTCCTTCACTTGGGAAATGTCAACTCCCATGAACAGTTGGTGGAATTTAGTAGCAACTTCCCATGACCTCTGTTTCTGATTGTCATAGATAAAAAAAAAAAATAGTTGGAGCTGAATTCCATGATCCAAAGTAGAAGGTTTTTTTGGTTTTTTTTTTAAAATCCAAGTTCAAACCAGGTTTTCTCAAAGGTGGCATTGGAATTTATTTACCCCCACCGCCCAAAGTACAGCATCTCTCTGTTGTGAAAATAATTGGCTGGACTGTTGGCCGAATGCCCATGGATTTTTTTTTTTAGCTAAATGAAGCTATTGCTGACATTTGAAAATCACAGAAAGATGCAATCTCGTAGGTGCTTGAGGCCAGGAACAGCATGATATATTGGAATTAAATAAATAAAATAAAAATAGCAATAGAAGACCAGAAGCCACTTAAATCCATTTTTGTTTTACTGTAGGTTGTTGGAGGTTCTTCAACCATACTCTATGCTTTCCCATCTTTCTGATATTTGGCAATTTATCAAAAGTTACCCCCAGTAGTACTGCATTTTTTGTGCTGCAAGGTCAGCAGCTGGGGTCTGTAGGAGTCAGCTCGAAATGCACAGATGCATGCCTTGAATTTGTGCATGCAACTTGAAGTAGAAAACCCATTTCTCCAGCCAGTTTTCTACCCCTCCCCCAGAAGTCAGAGAGAGGCCTGAACTTTGACCTCTGTATTAATGTAGTTAACAGCTGTAACATGTTATGCTCAGTTTATTCTCTCTCAAGAAGGGAACCTGAGAATATTCACTCTGAAAAAATATTCACATAGGGCTAAGAGGGAACAACATCCAGAGAAAGTTTAAATGTGACAGCTCTTGTGGTATCCTCAGCAAAAGTTTTTTTTTGTGCTTTTCCACATCTTGCTAAAGTTCTCAAGCAATAACATCTCATGGCAGTTTATCTGACTGTAAGATATGACAGCAATAACCCAAGCTGTGAGTTGCTACAGAACAGGGGAAAAGAACAAAGAGTCACTTTTTAACCATTATGTTGCCCGATTTAATTGGGGCAACCCCAAAACAAGATTAAGCCTTTTGTGGAGATCCTGTTTCATATAAATATCTATGGAGATTCTCAGTTATCTCAGTTATTAATGGGTATCCCAAAGATGCTTTTCAAAAGGCAACTGGACTTTTTTTTGTTTTTTCCTTGAAGACATTTTGCTTCTCATCCAAGAAGCTTCTTCAGTTCTGCCTGAATGGCAGGGAATGGAAGGATTTCTATTCCTTGCAATTCCTTTTGAAAAGCACCTTTGGAACTGTTTCATATAAATTAGACAATTTTCACACAATGATGCATTTATATTACCAAAGCCTAATGCTCTTTTTCAGGCTTTGGGGTGATAGGTTAGTCCTTTCTCCTCCCCATTCTCCTGACTATTCATGTCATCCAGCTGTTTCTAACAGGGCTATATCTACTGCAGTCCAAGAGTTAAATACTTAAATAAGAAAGGGAGTTAGGGTTTTTTTTCAAAATGCAAACCATGTAAGATGCAATATAGGGAAATAATTACTGGAAGATGCACTTCTAGCAAAGGTGGGTCTTTTTGATGCATTGCTGAATAGCAGTGATAGAAGTAAGTTACCAGTTCTGGCTAGTAAACCTACTCTGCTTGTTAGATTCAACCCTGTTCACCTATTTCAATCCAATGCAGCATTGTCTTTATATGCAACATACCAGTTCATGCAAAGCATTCCAAGTTCTTTAAGGAATAATAAAGCAGTTTAAGTCTCCCTCAATCCAAAATGCTGTGGCAATGTGACTTACAGAGGTACTTCTCATTAGTAAGAAATTTCCATGTTCTTTGGAAATATTATGGTCACTAGTGATGCGTTTGAGGCAGGGAGAAAAAGGGTGGAATAGTTTCATCACAGGGGATGCTAGATTACTGCTTTTTTGGTAGCTTTGCTTTTGCTTTTTCAGGTTGAAACTCAGAGGAGAGCATTTGTACAGTTCTGTTATGTACATGATGTATGCAGTTTTGTTTAATATTTTTTTTTAAGTTTTAATTAAAAACATACAGTTTTAGGAACATTTTTAAGGGAAACCTGTAAATGCTACACTTCTATTTATTTTGCCATGTTTTAGTTTGCTTTTGTGTGTGTGTGTGTATGTGTGTGTTTGTCTGTGCACCATGTTGCAGCCATGACTATTGAGACTGCACCAGGGCATTATGAGCAAACTGAGTGATGTCTTGGTACTCCATGGACAGGGCAGACAAGGGCTGGGCGTATTCCCTTTTATCCCAGTACCACAGATGGAGTCTGCATCTCCAGAAAGGGAAATTTCTTTGCTTAGAATGGCTTATGTTCTAGTTCTGTAGTGTATGAGACTTGCAGCGATCAAATGGATTGCCAATCAAATCCAAAGTGTGAAGTAATGTCAGTCCTGCATAAATGACACATAAAACTAGCCAGTGCCTGGGTGATGTTTAACCTCAAAGCCAAATTGGGGAGGAATAAGC